TGATGTATGCCAAAATAATTTTGCCTTTGAAATGGCATTTTGTTGTTATTTTAATTATTATTCACTTTTTTTTGTTTAATCAATAATATCAATGTATGCCAAAATAATTTTGCCTTTGAAATGGCAATTTATTTGTTTATTTTTTTAACCAACGATTCTTAAATTTTAAAAATACAAAGCAAATTAAAGGAAATATAATGCGAAACATAATTGCTCTTTTCACTAATGTTAAAATTTACATACATACGAGAATTGGCTATAATTGACAATTTTCCAAAAAATCTCACAATTAAGGGACAAAGAGTGACAATCATGTATGGAGAAAAACCAAAGTGTTGCAGTACATTTGCAGCAACACATACTTGCAAACTACTATAATAAGAAATAAAAAGCAATATTCAAGCAATCATTTTCTTATAACTAATAGTTTTGGAAATGCATTAAAAATGGCAGCTTATGATACATAAAAAGATTTAAAAATAGACTTCGTGACCAAAGTTTGATTTCATTTGCATCTTTAACATAAATGGATGTGTTTTTTTTTTTTTTTGTATTTGATACAAAGAATCTGTTTTTTTTCCACGAATATAAAAAAAAAATTTATTATTGCTCTTCTTATGAAGAACTAATTTTACAAATCGGATCTGTCCAGATATCGACTACCTGAAGGCATCTCATATATGATAAATGTGTAACAATTTACACGGATCCATCTATTGGTAGAGCCTATTTCTCCATGAGCTATTTCTCTTTTAAACTAAAGATAAAATTAACAGATAAAAAAGAGAAAAATAAAGCTGAAGTGGATCCCGGGCAACAATTGCAAAACTAATTACAAACAATTTATGCTAATGTAAATCCCTGTACTATTAAGAATTGTCATTACGACAAGTAATCGATGTCGGTTTACAACCTGCATATTCCTCTAAACTTGGATTCTCTAGATCCCCATGTTCGCTATTTTTATTCATCCCAGGAAATGTCGAAAGCGGAGCACCAAAATTCTTCACGCATACACATCTGTAACAGAGGTAGTAAATTATAGCTGCAATTATAATGATAAAATAAGTTCATACTCCAACATGTTGTAAAGGAAGCTAAGAAGCTTAAAATTCCTTTAAAAACTACAACCAATTCATTTCTTTAACAGCAATTCCATTTAGTATGTTCACACTTATCACTGTAACAATTTAAAAAAAATTTTTTTTAAAGGAATATTCCGTAACCATGACATAGATGAAATTTGAAGCATCTCAAACTTGCATGTTTGAAACAATAATTCCAAAAGAAAAGCAATTTTTAAAAGTCACCCATATAACTAATTTTACAAAAAACACTGTTCATAAAATAAAATGTAATAATGAAGAATTCTAACTTACCTATAAGATTTCGATTTCGCATCAAACAGTTTTCTTGGTACTCCAATCCATTCCCTTTCGATGCCACCACTAAAATGTAATTTGAATCAAAATCCAAAAAATCCACTGAAATTTTTGAATAAATCTTTGAAAATAAAATATGTATGGAA